TATTCTATGGTAGCACATTCTAGAGGACATTTTGTTTCAATAACTGAATGTACAAACAGACATCCCCTTAGAGAAGTGATTGATTAAATTATTCTTGCGTTCCTCAACATTTCTTAATCTTTTTGAACGAAAATTCTGTATGCGTTTTTATAAGCCCTCATGCCTTATATGTATGCTATTCAATTTTTCTCCTTCATTCGATTATTATAGTTAAGAGTACAACTTATGAAGCTCCTTATTACGTAATTTTCTCCAGAGTAGAGGAAAGGACTACATAATGAAGAGCTTTAAACATTTTCCATAAATATTCTAGATTTTTCAAGTAAACGGTAAAATACTTATTTTCTTGAATGTCGTTCTGAGTGAATACTAAACACCCTACTTAAAAATGATATTATTTAATAAAGCAAAGAATAATATTTGGCCAAGCACAGGCGGAAACTGAGTTCAAGATATTAAAAGTTATAGCAACAGTGATTTTGTGTGTAAATAGGAACACTGAACTTCAACAGAAAGACAAAACAACATTGAAGCAACAGAGAGCGGTGGACGGATACCGAATTGATCGTCATCATTTATTTATTTATTTCCCTCAAAACAGGGAGAATTTCTCTAATTACAGGAAGCTAACACAATTCAGCATTTCTAAAGGTGTATAATTTCTAAACGTAACCATGACGGAACATTAATTTAATATGCTACTAGCAGTGTAACATGCACAGATGGCTTTAGCAATACCCTACCCAATGATTCAGAGAACCATACAAAATGGCGTACATTTACTTGACTTTCGAGCAACACAAATACATTTTAAAATGGTACTGGATATTTGAGAATGTATTTTAAATATATGTTAACATTATGAGACTGGCGTGTTCAGGCAATAATATAGGAAACATCGATCATCAACGAGTGGGGAATATTCTGCTATGGTTTTGCAGCAATTCACACAATCGCCAAAGAAATCTGTAAGTCGCTAGGGAGAATGGAATTCGGATCGCAGAGCTGAGTTTTGTGAACGAGGTGGCCGAACATCCTCAGATTTCCTGACGAGGCAACATTCAAGCTAAAGGTCACAGTGAACCGACAACTGCAAATACTAACATTCTGACAATCCGAACATTCATGTTGACAAGTTAATGAACTTACCAGGATTTACGATCCCGTGTGATGTGTCATTCAACTGTACCTTGAGACAGAATTTCTTTAAATAGGCATTTACTATTTTGAAGTAACTCATCAAGCTAGTTCTCGCAAGAAGAAAATGACATTTACTTCCAACAAGACGGGGCACCCCCACACTATAATCACGATGTCAAGGCCTATTTTACACATAATATAAAGAAATAATAATAATTCAATTCAATTATTTATTAATAATGTGCTTTATTTAAAGTTAGAGGGCCAATTGCAGATAGCACAAAGAAACACAACAAAAGAACAACAATAAAGTTGTCAATTACATGACTTCAGCGAAAGTTAATGACAAAGCCAACTAGTGAGCGGTAAAGAAAGAGACTACTTAAACTTTGTTTGCAGAAATACGAGCTGCTTATTGAATTGTATCAGTACCCTAGCAAAAATAAGGTAATTAATTTATAAAAAGATAATTGAACACGCAAAACTGGAACAAACAAGATACTAGATTATGACAGTACATAACTTGGATGATAGCAGCAGGCCTATAATTCTAATTACACAAGTCAACGTTAGAAGAAGGACGCAAAAATAATATAAATTTATATAGAATGCAATTAATAACTAATAAACGGAAAGAATAATAGTTAAGGTGATTCGTGGCAAACCTCCCCCCATAGGTTTCGCCACAGTTTACAGTAATATTGCTCCAGCAACAGCAGCAGGGTTGCAAGCCTGGGCTTTGTGAAAGGGGCCAAGGCGAAACGTTGCTTCCGATGGAATAGATGTGGTCAGCGTTTAGACGCTAGGCCAAACGCAAGTATTATTAATTAATTAAAGGAAAATAATAACAGAGACGGGTACACGAAAATAGGCACAAGAGTCAAACTTTGTCTTTAACGTGGTGCAGACAAGCGAAACAGCATCAATTATTATTTCAAAGAGTTTTCCATGTCAGAGGCTCTAACCCTGTGGGAAAATATAAAGATAAATAGTACCCTGGTTCATATCTTTCTAGTACCAATAAGGACGGAGGGTGAATTCCTCACCCCAATCATGTTGCTGTTGTGGGTCTTGGCAGGAATTGTTTGCAGGCAAGGAAATTCCTTCACAATCACAATCAAAAACAGTTGCGAAACCATTGTGCGCAGCGATATTTGTTGTCTTGAATACAGACTGCGTAGACCATGGATCTTCAGCATCAATTTCTCGTGTCAACTAAGAAGACACAACACTTCTGATATCCGCGTTGTTTGTGGAAGTGCTGTTCCAATTTAAAGGTGTTTGTGACGGACAACCTTCCTGCAACTGCGTCAGGTACGTACGGGATGTTTGAGCGGTGGACGTACCCTGACAAAGGCCAGAGGTTATTCGAAATGTGACAGCGCTGACTGCTCTTGCTAACAAGAAGAATAATGAATGGTTTGTCCGTTTCTCGTCAAATTAACTATTCGCCTAGGTTGGGATAGAGCCCAGTAAATGAAGTCTGTGAAGAAGTGGAGACGATTTAGTTTGTTTCATTTCCTTCGTCCCTCCCTCCCTCCCGGTCTCTCTTACTTCCATCCCTTTTTCTTCGTTCCAAACTTTCCACATCGCCTCTCTTCAAACCTCTTTCAATCGCTCATTCTTTCCTTCATCTTCTTTATTTTTCATTCTTCTTCTCCTCCACTTTTCGATTTCGTATTTTTTTGGTTTTATTTTTCTTTGTATTATCTATATTTTTGTTTCCTTTTGTATTTTGTCTCCTTTCTCCTTGTATATTTTGTCCCGAATCTTCAGCAGTATTCCTTCTTGGGCAATTCCACAGAGCAAAACACAAACAAAACTTCAAGAACAGGATACAATAAATATATATTTTAACAGAAAATTCCCCGTTTCTGCTCTACAGATTGTCCCTTAATTTGAAGAAAATATGCAGTGATTTTTACTATATATTTTAGAAATGGAGAAATTTTCATATTCGCTATGGCTGTAAGCAGTATATATAATTATATTATATATTTCTTATATAATTGTATTATTATTATTACACCTCATTTCTATTCCACACTATAATGACACTTGATATAGAATCACTTTTCGTGCTCCAGTACATCATAAGGCCCTCAATTAAAACTTAGATACTTAATGACATCTATCATCCTCGGCATTAAAAGACGCCGTCTCCAAAATTCTGTTGCAATTAGGTGTGCTTTATGTATAGTACGAAGTGTTGATTTATACACTTCACTAATATTAATTATATTAGTTATAAAAAGTGTTATTATGTATTTAACTCATAGGTTTGACGTGTAAAGATCAATCTCTAAGCTAGTCGGGTCTTAGGCAGAGACATGCAGCTGCAAACCTTAATCAAGTGTTTCTTTCTTTGATAAATATTACTCAACGTAACAGCTGTTGTCACAACACTCCTACACCCCAAAATCCGTTATCGCTCTGAGCCTCGTCGGGTTATTCCTGTTTTATTTAGGGGGGGTACAACGCTTTATGCTACAAGAAAACGGAAGGATTTCACCCACTTTCCCGCGCAGCTCCAAGTCAATAGTAGAACGTTGCTAGCTTTGCTACGGTGCGAATTCTGAGCCGTCTTCACTTGCCTGGACTCCACTGCTCGCGTTGCAAGCGTGTGAGATCTCTCTGTGACCTTGACGCATGCAACTAGGTGACTGCTACACAGATGGAGGAGTGTTGTGTCATAGTAACTGATTATTATTTAAAGTCTGTCAAAACAATCGGCATTTAGGGCTAGAATCAAATTTGATTTTTCCCAAATAATTACCGGGGACGCTGACAACTGAAATGCTACGTTCAGTGTCACGGTCTTAACACTGAAAGATACGTGTAGTGCTGATTTCAAAGTCACTGAATTTGCGAGGGTGAGGGGAGGATCATATTTAGTGCCGCCCAGACCACAGTGCGGTTGCGCGCGGTGGTGGGTGGACACAATGGGTCACGGAGCGTCTGAAGCTACTTTTCAGTCGCTCGTAAACTGTTGATTCTAGCGGTCGCGATTCTTGAAGTGCGCCCCATTCAACTGCTATCGTGTGACTCAAATTGTAGTATTTTAACTGTTTCCAACATCGGGTCTGTGTCACCTCACTACGTAGTGACTAACAAGTGTGATGCGTTTTCTGTCAGATATGTCCAGACAGACAAATTCCATGCTTCTTATTATCAAATGATACGTATGATCGAACTTGAAACATTGCCAAAATTCTTTCGTAATTACAAGATTTGTACATCAGACTACAGTGCTACATTCAGTATATTTACGAACTTGTCTACGAGCGCCAAACATGAGCACGGCACTAACCGAAAACATTCTCTACATAACAAGAATCAAAGAAATGTGTAACAACTAAAATTCAAACGCCTAAGTTTTGATTGAAGTATCTAATACGTCTGCAAAGATCCATTTCAAAGGATATTAACATGGTACAGTCAGTCGTAATAACAGCAAGTCCCATTAGGTGTCTAGCCAAATAATCTACCGGCCCAGTGCTCAATTTGTATATAGTTTTCTGAATAAAGAAACTTCAGTGACAGTGTCAGGTTTGAATTATGTCGGTATTTAATGTACTAGCTCGTAGCACTGGGACAGAAATATTTTATGCAAGATCTATGGCAGCCACTTAATAATAAAATTAATTTTATTAGTAATTTTGCTAAAGTGAGAAAAATAAAATAATTGTAAGCTTAGATTTCTGAACTGAAGGCATTCTTTAAAATACTTACAATTTTAATTTGAAAGTTTCCTCTGTCACACATAACAGGAAGCTGGTATTAATTCATCAACTCCGAGTTTCATAAAACATGTAATCCAAATTAATTTCTGTGAGTGAAAATTTCCTCTGTCACACATAACAGGAAACTGGTATTAATTCATCCACTCCGAGTTTCATAAGACATGTAATCCAAATTAATTTCTGTGAGTGTCCAACAAAGTTACGTACAAACTTGAGTGCTTATATTTGAAATGTTGGCATAGAACTTGGAAAAACAGAAAGTTTTAATAGCTTTCTGCTATAAGCCAATTTTTATGAGCTATTGTCTTGCGGGGTGTTGTAACAAACATCCTAGCAATGAAGAGTGTGTTATAATAAGCCAAGGACGAACTTTACATCAGGCCTAGTCTGAATACAGCAACGTTTTTCTCAGGGTTATCTGTGATCATAGTGTAGTTGACGTCGGTTGTGTTAACTGTGTTGATCATCCTTATCAGCAAAAAACCTTGTCAAAAATATATTACAGATCTGTTTACATTTTATCTGTTTTAATTTAACAGACACTGAGAAAAATTTATTAACCTAGGACAGCCATCACCAGCAAATAACACAATAAACATAAATTTAATTCTGAGATGGGTCTTAATTGGTGTACAAAGTGTGAAAAAATTTGTTTCTGAGAAAATGTGAAGACCTGTGTATTATTCATAAACGTATGATCATGCCAAAACCAACAAAAAGGGACATAATGTGATATTTATTCAAAAATGTAGTAAGAAATCTTGTTTTCACATTAATGTGAAACAATTTAAATGGATGTGGTTTTTGTGGCTAAATAACTATATTATTAACTGTCAAAAAACAGATTCAAATACCGAAGTGAAGAAGACTGACCCTACATATGAATCAAGCAACAGTCCATTTTATTGGTGGCCAATTTGTTACGATGTCCTATTGTTACACAGTACTGATCTCCACGAACAACTCAAATTTTATTGCCTACACCTGATGAGAAATTCAGATTTTGAATCTACGGAAATCTACAATAAGTAATGGCTATTTGATTATCGTAATGACGAGAAATTTCGATATGCGAATAATGTATCTTCTTTTGTTATTTATTATAACATTTATGCACTACAAAATTACAGATATATTTTTAAACAGGCCTAATTAAAAAGTAGATTTAATTTCAAGAAAGTTTTTTTAAACATAATACTAGTGCGTCTACTTTGACTCATCGGAGATGATAAGAATACCAACCACCCGGGCGTCTTTGTTTGTACGACAGTGTTTCTTGTGTACTCAACAGGTGGTCCCGCCTCGCAAATGGAAGACTGAAGCGCGTATTTCTTGTAAACAGCTCAGGGATATTTTAACGAATAAGTGTTAAAACACGTCAGATATCCACATTTTCTTTCAACCGATCTTGCACTTGTTTCAAAATCATAAATCGACTCTGTTAATTTATCTGCTTCATTCAACAAAAATGTAGTTATTTTCAGAAGAAATTTGAAAAATTACAATCGCTGTGAAATTGTGTTTGTGGGGGCAGAGGTGTACACAGTGAAAATAAACAGCACACGCAAACAGTAATTCACATGACGTGAATTTACAGCATGATGGCGAGTTTAAATTTGAAAAAATCATTAGTGTCGTGCTAAAATACAAGTGATATATATATATATTATGCATCTGTTTCATACATTAACATATACGTGTTCTAAGGAAAATGTACGGAGAAGTAACTCTTTTGTTTCCAAAATATCCTGCTCACTTCGTTTAATTTTTGGCTACTGTTCACAATGTAATTTAATTTCTTTATTTAGACTAACGTTAAATCAATAAGATTGATAATTTAAATTTAATTAAACTTAATAACTGCATTTATAAGTACAGGATCCTCGTAATCCAAATAAGAACAGAAATATGTGCCGATAACTGCGTAAAAAAATCTGTTTATTTTAATCGCTAGGATCTGCCCTTTAAGAGGTGTCTTGAAGAGCTTCAGTGATTGATTGCGTTTCTGTTTAATCAAAAGTGTGCGAATGAATTGGAGAGTCTGTTGAACACCGTACGGAGATGTGATAAACCTTCAGTGTCAGTGTTGAGTGTGATTTATGGATCCCGTCCGGTAAATTTTGATTATCTAAAAATAAACAAAAATGCCGAAGACTGATTCAAGCGCGAGATGAACCAGCTTATGTGCACAAAAATACATGAAAAATCTTCAAGGAACGAACATGAGGCCTAATGTCTTGAGTAAAGCTAAAAAATAATTAAAAATAACGAATATTTTCCATGTGAGAAATTCTTGTGTTCTGCTTTGCCTCTTGCAGAAGGCTATCAAGATTATTCCAGGTAATAGTAATAATTAAAATGTCTGAAATAGCCTCCATGGCCATAAACCAGTCACTGTTAATAGTAATAATTAAAATGTCTGAAACAGCCTCCATGGCCATAAACCAGTCACTGTATTTTATGGTATCCACCGTGGAGACCAACTGCTCCGATTTCTTCGACAGCAATTGCCGCTCTAGCAAAAATGACACCGTGGAACACTACGACATTATCCACGACCACGCGGTCCAGGCATTGTTCTGCATCCTATACACCACAATCTTCGTTCTGGGTGTGTTCGGAAACGTGCTGGTGTGTTACGTGGTTGGCCGTAACCGCGCTATGCAGACAGTGACTAACTTCTTCATCACGAACTTGGCTCTCTCAGATATCCTGCTGTGCACCCTGGCCGTTCCATTCACACCACTATACACCTTCCTGGGTCAGTGGATATTCGGCAGGGTACTCTGCCGCCTAGTTTCATGCGCTCAAGGTATCAGCGTGTACATATCGACACTTACACTCACGTCAATAGCCATAGATCGCTTCTTCGTGATAATCTACCCATTTCAACAGCGCATGCAGCTCATCACATGCATCATAATTATCTTTAGCATTTGGATGTTCTCTTTGATAGTCACTCTTCCGTATGGAATATACATCAGACATAGATTCTTGGACGGTCGGTATTACTGCGAGGAATTTTGGCCGTCAGAGGACTTCCGGCAGCTGTACGGTGCCCTAACCACTTCCATGCAGTTCGTACTTCCTTTCATAATCATAGCTTTCTGCTATATTAAAGTTTCCCTAAAATTAAACGACCGTGCCAGGGCTAAGCCGGGTTCCAAAAACTCCAGAAAGGAAGAACTTGACAGGGAGAGAAAACGCCGTACAAATCGCATGCTTATCGCCATGGTAACGATTTTTGGCGTTTCTTGGCTTCCACTGAACCTCGTTAATCTCCTCAATGACCTATACATTCCAATCGGTTCGTGGAAATACTACAACCTGTGCTTCTTCATGGTGCATGCCATAGCGATGAGTTCCACATGTTACAACCCCTTTCTTTACGCATGGCTCAACGAAAACTTCAGGAAGGAATTCAAGCAGGTTCTGCCTTGCTTCGTACCATCAGGTAGTCGGTCGTCGGCTTCTGGAGCTATGGGAAGAACCGGAGGATGGCGGTCAGAAAGAACATGCAATGGAAATGAAACAATGCAAGAGACTCTGTTACCCACGTCCGTCATTCATAGGGCAGGTTCGGTAAGAATACAGATGGCGACTGACGCTCCGACTCCTGGCAAGGACACAGACGAACATGTATTGCCGGTACAGAACAAAGTGTCGGAAAGTGATTGGCGATGCAAAGTTGACCACGTGGATGTGGAGACAGTCCTGGTCCCCGCGGCAACATACTCTACAGGAGACGACTCGGTGCATCTGCAACTCACGATTGCAGGCGACAACAGCTCAATGTCATCCCCGAAGGCAGCGAATTCGTTGAAGACGGAGATTAAGGACACCGCTCAACTGGCCGGCATTCTGAGGGAGACTCTGTAATCCTCTGCACAGGTAAGTTGTCTCACGTCCCGGCAATGTTTTTGTTGATATCGTCATTCATATGTATGTTTATTCATTACAGTTACACACAGAATTCATGTTTACATAACAATGCACAACTGCCTGAGGGATTGCGGGAATTTATTTAAGTGCAGTCATCAGGCAATTTGTTGTTTTATGTCAGTAGCCTGTTAATTGTTTTCATATTTTTAATGTATGGACAGCGGTTGGAATCGAATTCGGGTCTGTTAAGCTTATCTTTTATTACAGACTACATCCACCATAATCACGATTACAGAAATAATCACTGTCAAAGATTTACAGGCATATTTACGGTTGGCAAATCAATCACTGCCATAAAGCTTTACGGAGAAAGTCCGGAGCAGTGAATGACCTTATGTTATACAGTTTGTCCCACTTAACGTGAAACCCACCAAGACATGCAGCCGTAGCAGCAGCGAGCGAAGTTCCGGGAAATGTATTAGTCGCAAGGCGGAACACAGCCGTCACATGCTGATAGCTGGGTTCCGAGTTACGCAGGACTCTTTATCCAGTTCATCGAAAAGTTTTGATATGTTACAGATATCGCAGCAATATCCTTACTGTCAAGTATGGTCCCTGTACCGATGCTTATTAATTAAAGACTTCTATGCCTGTTATTCTCAAAACCAACTTGCAATAATTCTGTCCGTTAACGATATGCCTGATTTAATAAGAAGTTACAACTGATTACTTTTTCGTAGAAACTAGACGGTCAGGTAAGAAGCCTGTTATTTTCTAAACGTATCAATGTGCTGCGCGCCTGATTTAATAAGAAGTTGCAACTGATTACTTTTTCGTAGAAACGAGACGGTCAGGTAAGAAGCCTGCTATTTTCTAAACGTATCAATGTGCTGCGAATAATGTATAAGAAATGTTTTAGCAATGAACATAAAAATTACAAATCAACACGAATGCATGTTTTGTACTAGTAGGCAAATACCTCACCAATACGTAACGTTGCAACGTTTGTAGTTTTCAGAGAAAAATACATTTAAGTTTGTCGGTTTTATCTTGAGATAGAAATTATGCTATCAGTAGTCAATTATTTATTAGTTTAAACAATTAAACAAGAAGCCGAATCGATGTACGATATTTATTATTCTGTATTGTACAGAAACTAACCTTAACAAAAGTACTATTATATTATGGTACAAAGTTGCTGGGCACTGCATTGAGTGGCAAAGGGAAAGGAAAACAAAGACACATGCACAGAAATCATATCGCATGCATGTCGTTATAAAGTAATAAACACATGAACAAAATTCTCATATCTCCAGTTTGCGTATGTTTTTGAGAATAATTACATCAAAGTATTTAGATTGTGCTGGAAATGTAGGTGAAATAAGCATGAAATGCTTACAGAATTTTCCTTGGGAGAACTTTTGAAGAATAGACACTGAAAAGACCAACAGGCAACTGCGAGGATAATATTAAATGGTTTCTGGTATGATTCATTGAGTATGTGAAGTTGATTAAATTGAGGATAGTAGAGTGGGCTTTGAGTTCCGAGTTTCATTACAAAAGTTAGCGAGGAAAATTTAAAAAAAAATTATTTACAGAAAACGTGACTTACCAGAGTTCGAAAAATTAAATAATTGTTTGTTACAAAGAGAATTGACGTAGAAATTCCGAGATGCCAACTAGGCCTACATTTCTGCGAATGTACAGGTGTTAATGTTTAAATGAAGAAATGTTCTGTCATCGTCAACAAGTACTGTATAAAATTAGCAGTTGTTAAAGATTATATTTTCCAACTTGCTAGTAGGTCGGATTTTTCTCGATACCGTAGCTCTGGCTTCAAATCTATTCTTCTGGCTAGCGTACTGTAGACCAACAGACAGCTGACAGCCATCATCTTAAGAGGCGTTTCGAAATAGAAACGGAAATAAACAATGTGGTGAATTGGGAACTGGCGGATATGATGCGACCGGATTTTTGGCGCCAACTCTCGCATCTGTCACTAGAGAGCATAACGTGTTTTGAATGTTTTCACAGATGTGTTTTAAACAAACAAGACAGAGACATCAGCACTTGCGTTTTCTTCTGAACTTAACATTTCACTCATTTCGAAGAAAAATATCTGTTTACAAATAACTGAAGCGCTTTGACATTTAGAGTACATGATATTAATGCAAATCATAAGCCACATGTACGTTGAAAAATATTATGAAAGCTGTATTACATAAAAATATAACTATATCCACTTTACAGCATCACATTTGACTATTTACAAACAAGTGATTTCTGTTTCGTTCGATCGCACAAAAAACATATCTATATGATTTAAGACGACAGTGTATTGAAAGAAAATAAGTATAAAATTAATCTATATGGAATATTAGGTAAATATAATCTTCCTTAAGGCGGTATATAATACTGAGTGATGAGTTTCAGACATCTGGAAGTGAATTAAGAAGTGTCACAGGTAAACGGATTCTTCAGAATTGCTCATATACGCCCTTATGTTACACATGTGGTTTAAGGCTAATAACTTGAACTACTTTAATGCATATAAATAAAATATAATATGAATGTTATACGTAATTATTATCCCAAATTCATAAATCCTTCGCAATTATTTCTAGGGCACAAAACGTAAATTAGGCTAACATTAACTGACTGATTAAGCCTTCATGGATTTAGTCAATAAATTTCCCGCCTTTTACGGAAACCGAAGGTTCACCACCATGTTGACCATAGATTGTTATTGCCCGTGTCCTGAGCAAGGTGAGCAGTTCTTTAATATTACTCTGAATATCGTATTGCTACACCATCTACTTGTAGATATTATAAATGGTCCCTTGGCTTTAAATTTTCCAACCAAAATTTCGCAAGAATTTCCCATTTCTCCAATGCGTGCTTCAAGCCCCATTCGTCTCATCGTCCTTAATTTAGTCACCCTAATAATGGTTCATGAATATAAATTGATAAACTCCCCATATTTAATTTTTCCACCCCCTGTTAAAACCTAAACCGAGATCGTAATGACCAAATATTTTAAACGTTATCTCAAACATCAAGTTTCACTCACACTCATTCAAAGTAACAGGAAAGATTAAGCTTGTAGTTTTACATATTTTATGCTCTTTAATCTTTGCGTTTATAGATAGAACAGTAAGAAGTCGAAGGATTTTAAGTGAATACTCTTTAATCTTTGCTTTTATAGATAGAACGGTAAGAAGTCGAAGGATTTTAAGTGAATGTTGGCATGGATTTCCGGAATATAAATTGCTCTGAATTTCTTGGCATATAAGATTATTCCACTGCACCTTATATTACCATCGTCACAATAGTACTAATCTAAAGTGGTAATAGACTCTTTTACATGTAGTTATACTGCAGCAGACACCAAATGCTTCAGTATGTTTACTGACATCACTCGTAATGTTTGAAAAACACGTATCAAAGTCTAGCTATCTATAGCTACAGAACTAACAAACAGTCTAACTAAATGTTATGGAATGTTCCTTCACCTGTGGATTGTAATTTAGCTGTATACAAGGAACCCGAACGTCCATTGCCTTTTCACAAAAGCATAATATTGGATCATATCCTGAATTACGTCATTCCAGCTTAAAACGTTAATGACTATTCTAAATCCATGTTCATGAAAATTCGGATTACCTGCATGTATTTACTCCTCTTGTGTGCTACATAACTGGCCAATCTGAATGTTTTTAGTTTAATAAGCAGATATAAATTTGGCGACAAGTATAAACGTAAAGATCCATAAGGTTCATGCAGTTTTATTCGTTATTATATTCTTTTCTCGTTCTTGGGTCTGAAACGCTTCCTAATACGCCCTCGACCTCTGTCGTTTCCACAAACTGACATACAAGTTACTAAATTAGAAGAAATATTTTAAATTATAGTTATAATTTACATTTTTTAGGCTTACAGTATATCTGAAAAATAGTAAATTAAGAATTTAATGATAGTATACATTTCCCTAATATAATGACACGGAAACAGTGTCTAATGCGAAGTGATGAGATTTTCGGACGCCATTCACAATGTACTACTAACATCCTAAAATATATGCAGAACAAGTGAGCCCTGTTCAGTTCCGTAGAAAAATTGTGTGAGAAACTTCCTTTTAAGAAGATCGGTCTATATACGGCTTACACAAATATCAGTAGTAGCCTTCAAGTTTAAACTGTTTAAAGATGCATTAAAAACAAAAATAAATTTAATTCCACGAATTATTTACAGAAATCGTATACAATTATTATGTAATGGTAAGGTCGGCTACGTTTGTCTACAATCTCTGAAACTAATGAACGAATTTCAGCGAAATTTAGTACAGGAGGTCTGGACTAAAACTTGTTACTTAATGTATTTTCGGTTAGAATCATTATAATAAAACCAGTTATTTATGTGAGGCTTAAAACGGCTTATTGTCCTGAAATTTAGTACTTACATGACATGAAATACAGATATTACCAAGAACGGTTAGTTTTACAACAACTATTTTCTGCAATGTTGACTATTTTACAAAATACAGGGAGAAATAATTTTTGAATCTCTTCAGCGAGTGTTTATAGTGATTAGCTTCCCAACAAAAGTTCTGTGGCCAATCTGAAATAAATAAACATCAACGCCAGTTTCAGAGAAATGTAACGCCTGATGGTTTGACTAGCCCGAGCCAAACCGGCGCAATAAACCGGAGCTATGGACGCCAGCGATTAGCTAGTGTCGGCAGAGCAGCTGTCTGCACACACCCGCAATGGTGAGCCCAGGTCCAAGCACCAGCAGTCTGGATGGACCTTAAGGACAGAAAACTGAGCACGCTGGCTTTCCTGATCTGCGTAGTAATTCTTATACACGGAGTTTTACCTTAGGACTATGAGTTTTGAGGTTCTCACGGCTTAGAAAATATCGATGCTAGTCTTCCGGGTTGTGGCTTCGTGTAGTCTGGTAGAAATTTACCGATGTTTCAGAGTAGTTGCTCCGCCCTGATGATGGTGGCA